GTGGAATATGCCCAAAATTCCAGAATATACCCCTGTCTGGATTTCTAAATGAGGCATCTTTCCCAAGCAATAGTTTCCTTAGGATAAAACCTATCTGTACATGCTCCATCTCTGGCAGTGTTCAAGGCCAGCTTGGATGGGGCTTCGAGCAACCTGCTCTAGTGGAAGGTGTCCCTGCCTGTAGCAGGGGGTTGGAACTGGATGAGCTTTAAGGTCCCTTCCAACTCAAACCATTCTAGGATTCTATGAATTTCCCTAACTCCCTCCAGAAGGGAGAGCTGAAGGTTGTTTATAAACTACCAGAGTTTGCCATGTTTGGCTGAACGGGACACAGATTAAAAAGAAAGGATTGACATTTCCAGGCTGCCCCAATACCCAAATCCAGGAGCACAGCTAGGCTGGTTTTGAACTGGAACACAACATTTATAGGGAAGGTTTGCAGCTCTGGACCTGTTTATTCTCTTGCCCATAAGCACAGACGTGTTTCTTCAAGTTCATTTGTTGTGGGCCATGCAGCTTGACCTGCTGAGTCAAATACAGATTCGGTCAAAATCTGATTGCACAGTTTCCACCAAAGAAGCTGAGAAATCCTCTTCAGGTAAGATATCTGACCTAAGCTTCATGGTCCTTGAGAACAGACCAAGAAATCACAGTGATGTACCAAATCAAAGTTGGCTTAAGCTTTCCACTCCCTAAAAACAAAGCTCTCAATATATGGAGACAATCAAGTAGCATCCTAAACTCCGACCTCTAATGATGCAAGTATCATAGAATCACAGACTGGTTTGCGTTGGAAGGGACGTTAAAGCTCATCCAGTTCCAACCCCCCAACATAGGCAGAGACACTTTCCACTAGAGCAGGTTGCTCCAAACCCCATCCAACCTGGCCTTGAGCACTGCCACGGATGGGGCAAACACAGCTTCCCCAACCTTGTGGCAACTTGTGCCAGGGCCTCACCACCCTCACAGGGAAGAACTTCTGCCTAAGATCTAATCTGAATCTATTCTCTTTCAGTTTAAAGCCATTCCCCCTTGTCCTATCACTACCTGCCCTTGCAAAACGTCTGTCTTCAGATTTCTTGTCAGACCCTTTTGGCACTGGAAGCTGCTCTAAGGTCTTCCCAGAATTCCTAGGAAAAGATTGAAATGCTCTCCAGTTCTTCCATGTTATTATGTCATTAAACCTCAGACACCTACTCTGCAGCCCTTCTGAAGACAGTGTCCTACACATTATATTCACAACCCAGTGATCCATCACACCTCAGGCTCTGACAGGTTCCTGAAGCACAGGTGAGTCCCATCCCACGTTTTACTGGTGAGCAGAGCCCCTGGTCACAGCCAGCCACCCCGCAAAGCAGCGTTATGCAAAGGTCATTAACACAGCTGTCCCTGCAGTCCTTAATCCTGGAGCTGCAACACCCTCACTTCTTCTATTCTTGGGGCCTTTCATGAGAACAGTGCTGAGCTGCCTGAGGATTTCCTCTTTCCTTTGTGTTAGCAATCCAGGGCTTTTTCCTCCTCTTCTGAGGACAGGGACACACTGTGCACCCGACATGTGTGTCCAGCAAGCCCCTGCTCTTACTTCCCTCCCCCTTCGAAGGAAGAAAGTAAAATCCCAAACTCTCTCCTACCTGGCCAACGAGCTCCCCTGCCCCACAGCAAATGCCTTCACTCTGCCCCACACTGCTAAACCCCACAAGCCTAACAGATATTTCAACTTCTGATGCCACATGCTCTCTACTGACAGCTGTCTCAACTATATGCAACATATTTCATTTCAGCTTCCTCCCAGCTCCAGTAAAATTGCTGTTTCTTGTTTCTAGTGTTCTTCAGAAACTGAATTTGAGCCACATACTGCTCATTTATTTACTATTAATGGACAAAGATTAAACAAAACAGGGTTATAACTAAGGTTTCTTGCCATGATTGTCAGTAATGAACATCAGAGTAAGCTGATAAGCTTTGTCTGATGAGAACTGGTCTTCTCCTGGACACGTGCTGTGAGCGAGGGTGAACACAGCAGCTGGATCCACAGTGCACATAAACCATTCAGACCCTCAAAAAGCCTTCATCAAAGTGCCAGTGACAGACATCTAAAGCTGGAACAGTCTAACTACCCAACAACTCCCTCAGATCAGCAACCACCTAAGAGACAGAAAACTAAATGGACATAAAGAGCCATTGCTAAATGATGGAGAATGTCAAAAGCAGAACAGCAGAATAGCTGATTCCTGGCATTAGTACACATGCAGAACTAGAAGAGAAAGGCTTCTAGCAAGCAAAAAGTGTAGGAAACAAGTAATTCAGCTCAGCTATGAAGACAAGTTTCAGAAGGGAAAGAAAAAACCTGGGGATAGGAGGCAACATGTAATTCAACGTGTGGCAATTCAAGGCAGTAATGTGAACTACTCCTATCCTTTACAGTGTTCTAAATTAACCGTGCCAGCTTGTAAAAAGATCTGGCCAACAGCAAGTCCCTGCAGGAACCTGGTAAAGTATCTGGATATTTGAGACAGTGAACACTACAGAAAAAAAGTTACAGATGATGGAGTGGTAATGCTATTGCATGGGACACCTGGAATATTGCGTGGTATTTAAGTGATCCCACTCAAAAAAAGCAGTGCAAAGAGGTCAGGGTGGAAAAGACTATGGGAAAGTTCTCAGAGAGATGCAAAGACTGCACATTTTTAGATGCAGATATGAGTACAGAAGAACACACTAACCTGTAGCAACAATATAGGAAAAATACCACTAGCCCTTTTTCAAATGACACAAAACAGAAACAATGGTGAACAAAGGGAAAGGCAGAAAATCAAAATCTGATGGAAAAAGCACGTTTTCAACCATGGGCATAATTAGCCTGTGGAAAGGATTCCTTTAGGAAATGGATACGTCCAGAAGCCAAGCAGGAATTTCTACAGCTCTGCTCACTCGCACGCCAAAGCAGCACGGAGATGTAAATATAAAAATTAAACTTCAAATACCAAGAGTTCTTGAAGGCAGGTAATTATGTCTTTCAGTGTCAAACCAACTCCTGGTTTCTGCATGTCCCTTCCTTGGGACAATTAAGGAACTAGAGCTGGGGAGACTTCGTGACTTGCTTTCCTTTCAGTTGCTGCTCTCTGAAGTACCACTGAGAGTACAAGCCCTGGACTAATGACATAGAATCATAGAATGGTTTGGGTTGGAAAGGACCTTAAGATCATCTAGTTCCAACCCCCCTGCCATGAGCAGGGGCACCACACACTAAACTATGTCACCCAAGGCTCTGTCCAACCTGGCCTTGAACACCACCAGGGTTGGAGCATTCACAGCTTCCTTGGGCAACCCATTCCAGTGCCTCACCACCCTCACTGTAAAGAACTTCTTCCTTGCATCTACTCTAAACTTCCCCTGTTTAAGTTTAAAGCCATTACCCCTTGTCCTACCACTACAGTCCCTAACGAAGAGTCCCTCCCCAACATCCTTATAGGCCTCCTTCAGATACTGGAAGGCTGCTAGGAGGTCTCCATGCAGCCTTCTCTTCTCCAGGCTGAACAGCCCCAACTTTCTCAGCCTGTCTTCATACGAGAGGTGCTCCAGCCCCTGATCATCCTCATGGCCTCCTCTGGACTTGCTCCAGCAGCTCCATGTCCTTCTTATGTTGAGGACACCAGAACTGTACACAATACTCCAAGTGAGGCCTCACAAGAGCAGAGCAGAGGGGCAGGATCACCTCCTTTGACCTGCTGGTCACGCTTCTTTTGATACAGCCCAGGATACGGTTGGTTTCTGGGCTCAAGCGCACACTGAAGCTGGTTCATGTCAAGCTTCTCATCAATCACCACCCCCAAGTCCTTCTCTGCAGGGCTGCTCTGAAATAACTGATCTGATCCTCTGCTACTGTCTTTACATGCAGCAACTACCCAGCAACATCATTTTAAAATGAAAAATTGACATAATCAACAACCCCTCCTTGCTCCTCTCTCACACAAGCAGCATTTTCCCCACTTGCCAACAAGTTCTTTGTAATGAAACTCCAACTACCTGGAATTAGCCTCAATAACCTGAGCTATATCATATGCTGGGCTGTTCTGCTATATTCAAACCTTGTTAGCATGTTCCCATTTTAGAAGGCTGTCACCTGCTTCTATTCTCTCATCTGTACTCTCCCACTCCTATTTAAGCAGTCATCCCCCAGATTTCAGAACAAGCTTGTGGCCAACAGAGAAGACAGCAAGAAAAATGGGACTTTATGATAGTCTCCTACGACGTTACCAAAGAGCTGCATAGAGATGACAGAAGATAAAGATCTCTCTCCTCTGCTTATCAATCTCAGTACAAATGGAGTATAAGGCATCCAAAACAGACTTCATCTGCCCAAGAGGTGACATTCAGACATTCAACCCTACAGTATCAGTATGTCCAGACGTACAGTAATGCTACATTTTAATCTTCTTTTTGTTTGCAAAACTTAAAACTGTTTAATTACTGAAGGGAAAAGATTTACTAGCACCACAAGTTAGTGATCCAGTGAAGCCAAATCCCAGGTGGGTATGTTCCCTAGCCTATGGCACTGGTCTTGGTGCTTCTCATCAACCTGCTCCTCCTTGTAAGGCTGTTTCTAGCTGAAGCCATGGGGTGCCTGAGTGCAAGAGAGGGTTCATGTCCTGAGAGTCAGGGCAGAAGCCGAAATAGATCTGTCCAGGCACCTACTCAGTCTTTGCATTTCTTTGCTATTTCTTCACACACAGTGTCAAATTGCTTTTTAAAATTTGGCCTCTTCCTGGCTGCCATTAGCTCAGGAGCCGACTCAGGTGATATGGAAGGATGAAATGTCTGTGCCAGCCTGTGCCTTTTCCAAGCTGCAGCAACCATTTGACAGCAACTGATTAAGACAACTCTGACCCTGCAACATGAGATGTTTCCATGGATCCAGTTTCCTCCTCCGTGACCGGATCAGAAGCAGATCACTAGACAACAGACCATTGTAGTGAGTGACAACTGAAACCAGTACTTACTGAGAGGTTTAAGGATGCTGCTGCTTGTCTCATCAGCGTTCTCTACGTCTGATTTGTCAGAGTAGTTCTCAGAGATTTTCTCCTTTTCTTTCTTCTCTTTGTGCCCAGGTCGTCTTCTGTGACGCCTCCTTCTCCTATAGCTCTTCGGCACATGGACCCCAATGTAGATAGTGTGATGACCTAGGGAACACCAGCACAGCAAACATTAATTTTGACTGCATACACTCTGTGCATCACTGGCCAGGACAGTTCATGCTGTGTTTCATTCAAACAGAGCAGCCAACTACCCTTCTTTGCTGGCCTCCTCTTAATCCTGTGTTTCTTGTCTCCAAACGTGAGCTAGGAGCTCTGCAGCTACCATTCGAAAAGCACTGTTTGTGCAATCATTTCTGCGAGTGCATGCCAGGGCAGATGCTCTGGTAATTACTCTGTCCTTGTGACTCGTTTAAAAATAAAAATAAAACCCATAAAAGGTTTTCACATCACACTCATTCCACAATATTGAATACAGGGAATATGTTATTTTTTTCCATTCGTTTCCCCACAGACATTGGCTTGACTTAACAAGCACCTTGTGCAAACTGAGCCGGCTGCACTGACGAGCTTAGAGGAACCACATTTCTATCACTTGTCTATGTAGTCCACCGTGTAACAAGTGTCAAAGCACCTTTGGGGTATCATAACTCAGCAGATGAGGAAGGCCTACTAAACATAAGTTACTGTCAACTTCTAAGTACTTCACACATTCCAAAATAAAAACTAAGTCATAAAAGAGTAAGCGTCAAATTCCACATGCTGGCTGGAAACCCAAAGTATGCCTCTTCCCTGTCCTCCCGACTTCCATTTCAAACCAAAGCACTGCAACTACATTTGCCAGTTGTTACGTCTTCGTGAGAAGTTTGATCAAAATGTTTTATTTTCAAGGCTTTCTGCACTTCTACTAACCTGGGGTAAATATCTTTCCTTGTGCTTATAGAAAGTATTTACATGTCTTTTTCTGTGTGCAGATAATTCAGACGTCTTGCCGTAAGCTGTAAAAACAGCTCCTTCAGATTCAGCCCCTGATAAATGATAGCTGCATTCTAGGCTTTTGACCAAATTTGGTTTCTCCCTCGTGTCTCAGCATAGGCAAGCAGAGAGTTTCAGATAAACACACATGCCCTATTACTGTCTCAAGTACCTTTATCTGAACGACTGAACTGCAAATGCATGTAAGAACAAATATATTTGTCTGTGGGTACAGTCATTTACTTCTGCTCACAGGGGAGAATTTCTGCACAGTCACTGTCTTGGCCACCTCACATCCAGCTATTCCTGGTGCATGCTTACACCTTGCATGAATGCACAACTACGAAAGCCTCATGTGAGCATAGGAGATGACACATTCAAGACAAGGCAGAGGCTGCAGCTCAAACAGCAGCCTTCGGATCCCAGCATTCGTGACTGCTGTGGCTTTGAACAGGGAGAAGAGATGACTCCAGCACCTACACATATCTGCCACAGAAGATACTCAACTAAAAGACCCTCATGGAATTCATTCTACATACTCCATGATGTGAAAGCACATCATTGCTGAAACCAGATGAGCAAGATGATGGCAACAATAACTAAAGCCAGACAAGATGCAGCCCACCTCTCTTCTGCAGCAGTCATGCTCCCTTTTGCTGAGGAATAAGAATTAAGTTAAGCAAGTAACAGAAGTCATGCCTCACTTGATAAAACAGTCATGCTCTTGAGAAAGCCCTTGCCACTGACCCATCTCCACTAGTTTTCCCTCACTACAGGGAATGCATTGCTCTTCCCTCTCACCTGCGAGCTGCAGCTATCATTATCATTTGTTTTTCAACAGCATGATAAGGTTCTACATGAACCACCTATTTGCAAGACACAGGAAGCTGTTCTGCAAGTGCCAGTGCAAGAGTAAAGCTGGCATCTGCATCCACCCATTAACTTTAATGCTGACATGCATCTCCAATTCCTCACTATGACAAATCCCTCTCTGAGACTGAATAACTGGAAGTTCAGGCACAAAACACCCAATTTCCACAGCAAACTGACTTTTCAATGAAAAACCACCTGCTATGAAGTCTGGAGAGCACTTCCCCTTTTTTGCACTTGAATTTTCACACTGAAAGCCACCAAGGTCTTTTAAAACACTGCTTGACCAAAGCAGCCCTCCTTAATAGCAACTTCAAAATAGCCAACTCAGCTCCCCAAGGGCTTTGTAACTAATGCAATGATGAGCAGTATGCAGGGATGGGGCCAGAAGCGTATGAAAATAGCTCATGCCCTCTCCATATTATACATTGTCTCTCCTAACCATGCATGTTCCATGGCCCAACAAAGCCATTGAGATCCACAGATCTCCAGCAGTGACTCCTTCAAAAGGCAAACCCAGAGGATAAATTAAAAATTTTAAATGCATGCTGTTGAGTTATTTAAATATTTAAAAAGCATCTGAAAAAGTCTGTTTCTAAAACACTGAACTCTTAATTCTCACAGACCAACAAAACGAAAAGGAAAAAAAACTGTTCTCCAGAACGATGAGTTGAAAAACATGCTCATCCCCACTAGGTGTGATACATTTTGGCTCTAATTTGTTACGTGGGAATTGTAATAGACAGCAGAAGCTTGTACAGAAATTCCTTTCTCCCTCACACACACACCAGTGTGACAGAGCCTGTGATGGCCCTGAAACAGATCCCATCATCGCTGGGACATGACCAGAGAAGCTGTGGCTGCCCCATCCCTGGCAGTGTTCAGGGCCAGGTTGGACACAGGGGCTTGGAGCAACCTGCTCTAGTGGAAGGTGTCCCTGCCCATGGCAGGGGGTTGGAACTGGGTGAGTTTTAAGGTCCCTTCCAACCCAAACCAGTCTGTGACTCTATGACTCCATGGTCATTCTGGTGGCTGGAGTGTGCAGCAAGCTTGAGTTTAGGTACTGGTGGGTAACTATGCAGACCAATAAATAGATATTCAGACACAAAGACATACAGTGTCCATGATACCAAGATACAAACTAACAGCTATAAAGACTTAGTGAAAATCTCCCCAAGGGGAGTTGCTGTTACTTTCCTGCCAGAGTTATATAGACTGAGATATTAAAAGTTCTCCACCCCACAAGCATCTCCTGCTGCTGCTGGCAGGGGATGTACAACTGCCCAGTGCAGTACCAGGCACTACTAACTCACCATCTCAGGCAGCAGGACAAAACCAGAAACAGAAATGCAGGGTTGAGCAAGGTCCATCAGGCAGCATAACAGTGGCAGGGGAAAAGGGACCTGCATCTGCTGCCTCCAGCCCAGAGAAACTGGCTCACACCGCAGAGAGAACAAGCAGAGTCACAACATCAACATCAGAGACACCTGCAGAAAGACCTTATGGATCAGCACCTGAAGATAAGATTTAGCTCCAACATGTCAAAGGAAACCAGGAAAACTATTCCAGCAGCTGGGAACATCTGCTTTAACATGGCAGATAGCATAAACAGTGTGTAGGACAGGGAAGGAGAAACCTGATCGGAGCACAAGCAGGGCTGTAGGGTACGGGTGGCTGTGGGACAGACAGAGCAGCAATAGTTGTTTCGAAGGGATTCTTACAGCCAGGATCCAGTATCTGTACTAACACAACGTCCTCCTTCGAATCACTTCAATTCTGCAGTCAGCTTGATAACAGAAAACACATCATAGTAAGCCTGTAGTCTTAATACTTAAATACGCTGCCAACAGAACCGGACAATCTCTTTAATCTTTTGACCATGTGTGCAGAGGACAGACTTAGGTAATACAAAACCGAAGTTGTATACACGCAGGCAAACATCTGCATTACTTAGCTGCTTTTCCCTACTCTGCGAGGCAGAGGCTTACTTAATGTTGGGGGGTTTGTGTCATCCTCCCCCTGCCTGCTCCTCCCAGTCTGTTCAGGGAGGCAGAGCAGGACATTTTCCTGTTCTACGTACTTGAACTGCTTGGCATCTGTTTGTATTGTTGCAAATGCTGAGATAAACTTCTAGGCTCCCTTCCCAAAGCGCCTGGAAGGAAACAATTGACACATACTCTCAATGCACTGGGGTTCTGAGCCATTTCCTACTCACCGGGGTAACAGAGCCTTTCCCATGAGAACCACTGGCTACAAATGGGAATGCCTGATAAATTTAACACAGGAACCACACTACGATCCTACGGCTTGGTGGAGGATGGGGAGCACGGAGCCCAGTGCTAAACTTCTCCCAGCAATCCAGGTCCCACTCAGCCGTAACCTTCCCCTGTACCCAGGACATAGGGAATTGCTCACGTCCTGAGGTCCCCACTGCATCCCCAGCCTTCTCTGGGGGCTGCTCCCATTGCTCTCCCCTAAAAAAAAATGAGCCTCTATGTGCTCCTCGTTAGTTTTAAGAGCTGTTTTGGCTGACTGGAGGGGTGTTTTTCACCACACTGAAATGTAGAGTGAGATGGCTTTTGATCAGACACAATGCAGGTTCCTTTTTGAAGGTCTCTTGATTCATGTTGCTACAGACTTGGGAAGTCCTCCTCTTTCAGCCTGCCAGCCACGGTACAGTATGACAGTAGAGCTGACAGCTGGAGAAGCTGATTGAGGCTAGACCCATACTAACTCTATCTAGATTGAACTGACCTGAAACAGGAGCTGGTAGCAAGAACTGTAGTGAATTTATATATAAATGCCCCATCCCTGGCAGTGTTCAAGGCCAGCTTGGACACAGGGGCTTGGAGCAACCTGCTCTAGTGGAAGGTGTCCCTACCCATGGCAGGGGGTTGGAGCTGGAGGAGCTTTAAGGTCCCTTCCAACACAAACCATCCTGTGATTCCATAAAATCCTGTAGGTAAGATGCACAGCAAGACCTGCAGGACAAAGTGGCACCTCTTCTATCCTACCAGACAGCTGTGGGTCATGGCTTCAGCTACAGCTAGAACTTTTGAAGTTAGCTTCTCATGCCCCAAGAGAAACTTTGCTGTGCAACAAATCCAGAGCAAAATCGTTTCATCTGATTATTAATAGAGCAAGAAGTACTCATCATCATAGAGGTATTTTCCCCCTGGAAAAATTTTGGTTGAAACCACAGCTTTTGCTTTATTAAGAGCTATTAAAGGATAGCAGCTCATGATTCAGAGTCCAGATTTAGAGTTTGGGCACTGAAGACTCCCTGAGTCAGTTATACTGGT